GCTACAGATCCACAACAGGAAAGGAGGAAAAAAGAAAAATGGCAGAAACATGAAAGAGATGAAGAGAAGAAAACATCAGGAGCCGCAAAAACGCACATCCTTCCTCTCAGATCCGAAAATACATGAAGAAAATGGTTCGTCTTTACCTGAGCTCTGTCAATCGAGGGACGACGAAAGAAGAAGGATAAGGGGACGCGAGGGAAGCAGCGGGGATGAACCTAGGGCAGAGGCGAGAAAAGGGTAAAGGGTAAAAATCTCGGGGGAAAGCGGGGTCGAGGGGTTAATGTCGCTGCCCACTTTCGCTCCGCTTCCGCGAATCTAATTTCCGAAGTCACGAACCAAACGAAAAACTTTCGCGAATAATCGCGTCAAACGACCGCACAGCTCCTAAAAAGCCCTCCCAAACGGAGCCTAATCCCTTTGTTTGGTTGGGTAAGTCTTGTTCTTTGTCTAAGTGGGCTTTTGTTTGGTAGACTTTGTACACATTTTTCAGAGGGGTTATGGTTAGACATTGGATAACTTGGGCACATGTTGATGTGATCCTTGACCTCTTGTGGGTCATCTTTCACCATGCTTATTTTTAGTCTATAAGATCTTCTCAAGATTCATCCTCACTTATTTTTGGGTGTATATATATAGTTCTTTGATTCTCCTGCATCTTGAAAGTAGTGTTGTAATAAGAACAAGAAAATTTAATAAAAAAAAACAAATTCATTTATTTCATAATTTGTGCTTTATTAATGGAAATCCATGGATTTTTCGTGTATGTGGCCTTCTATAGATAGGGCACAGAGGGCATCTTACAAGAATCCCCAAAATAATATCAGGAGTCATCTAAGAGAAAACCTCAAGACTCGCAAAGATTACTCAAGTTCCCAACACAACAACCACATAAATCACTTTGCGGCGTTCCTGTTAGGGGTGGGCTACCTGTCGGATTACGGTAACATGCCCTCTACCTAACAGCGTGGTCTCATCTTTGTAATAAGAATCTCACTTATGGGTCCGAGAACTAATAATCAAACCAAAGGATATTGCCGCACAAAGTATGACAGCCTAGACACCCTCATGGGTCGGCCAATTGACCTTACCAAGCCCAACAAATTTCCTCATCTAAAGCTGACCGAATGTCATTATCCAAAGTCGATCGCACATCCTCAGACAAGCTGACCGACAATCCTCCGCAAGGTAGACCGGGTGACCAACATAGGAGAACTAACCTTCTGCCTTGACTCAGTTAAATCAGCCAAATAATCTAATCAACTAAAGGGAAACCGAGCCTAGACGACCGAAGATAGGGCAACCGAGCCAGAGCCCATTTATTTATTTATATATTCATGTACTTTTTTTATGTCCAACATATCACGTGACATCCTTATTCAATTAGGGGCTAGCACTTAATTGTAAATATCATACTCTTATGCTTATCAATAAGGGGTCATTTCTATATTAAACGGCTAATGAATCGTTCACACTAATCCGATCTCATTTCAACTCTATTGTTCTCTCTCCCTCTCATATTTTCTCTCTTTCTATATTCTATTTTCTATTTTTTAGTTGTGATTTACACGACAATCTCATATTCAAGATATGTTTTATCTCATATCTAGTGATTTTATTATAATTTAATTGAAATAAATCTCTACTGTTGATATTTTTGCGCAGTTGGGATTATTCTAGTTTTTATCAGCAGCCATGTGGGCGTAGGTTAAATAGCAACACAAGATTTCTATAAACTCAAAATATCTTGCAGCCCGCCCATTCAGAATCATAATAAACAGTTAATTGAGTAAACTCGGAATGGACAGCTTAAGAAAAGTGCGCAACTCCATTGATGTATACAGTATTTAATTAATGTTCGTCAAAAAAAATATGATGAAAAATTAGTATATTTAGTTTAAAATTAGATTTTTGCTGTTAAAAATCTCGGTTGATTGGGAATATATTTTCACTTTGCATATCATAATTTCTTCTGCAAAAAAGTAAGAATTAAAGGTTATGATTCTTAAAGATATTGAATAAATACTGAATTTATTATAACTCAAAATTTAATTGATTGTTTATATATTATATTGGTTTAAAATAAATTTAATTGATTTAAGATTTATTTTTCTTAAAATATCTTTTCTATTTGACATTCCACTGCATAGCTGCCCGTAAAATTATAAATTCATAGAAAGCAACCTCGAGTCAGAAAAGGTTCACTATTAATTAATTCGGAGACTTAATTTTATTTATTATTTTCATTATAAATATATATA